CACACACGTGCAGACCACCGCGCACGCACGGTTACACACACACGCAGGCCCTCCCCAGTGCCAGAGGCGTGGGAGGACAGGTTTGGGATCAGGGCCACCTTCCTCCATGCCCTGGCCCTTTCCTATTTGGCAACAGAAGGGGTAGAGATGCTCCGTGCCCCCTTGCAGCAGACAGCAAGAGAGCACTGAGGCAGAGTGGCCTGATCCTGACCTTCGGATCGGTCTGGCACCACCCCCGTCCCTGGCCGGCCTGCGCTCTCTGGCACCTGCAGGCGAACATCCAGCTCCTGATCTTCTGACATCCCCACGCACACGCTTGCTGTCCGGCTGGGCATTTTCACAGTACCAGTGAGACCAGATGCCCCTTTCCCTGGAGCTGTGCAGGAAACGGGGCTAATCTGAGCTGGCAGAAGTCCCTTTGCTCCCCTTTGGGGACAGATCATGGGACTAGGATTTGGCAAATGGAAACATTCCCCTGAAATTTGGACAGAGCTGGGTCCCCAGAACATCTCCCTCCCGTGCCCTGTGTCTGTGAGGGAGACCTGGCTGGGGTAGGGAGTGCCCAGGACCCATGCTGGGGATGCAGGCATAGCAAAGGAAGGCAAGGATGGAATAGGCACTCTTCAAGCCTGCCCCAGTCTTTATAAAAATGTTCCCAGGAAAAAGAGGGAAAGGAAGGGCCCAGCCCTGAGCCAAGTGCCCAGACAGACAGGGAAAGGGCGGGCGTGGCAAGCTTCCATTTCAATCTCTGAGGCAGGAGACGTCCCCCTGCCTCTGCTGCTGCCCCCTCCCCTGCTCCCAAAAGCTGGGGAAAAGGAGAGAAAACAGCCCTACCCCAGTTAAGAAAGAAAGCCACTTGCATAATCCTCTTGGTATCCCCTCATTCACCAGCCTGAGGGCAGACGAGCGCGGTCCAAGTACAGCCTGCTGGGGTGTTCCCTCTTGCGGTCAGCAGGGTCTGCAGGCTCAGCCTCCCCCAGCGAGCACAGAGTCCACTCAAATGCCCACCTTGGTCCTTTCAGCCGAATTTGTAGCTGGGCCCTGCTAACTGCTGGGGCCCCCATTGAGGAAGTAGGTGGTCATCTCCCCCTTGCCCTTCACCTTGACCACCCCTCGACACTCCAGCTGGTAGCCCTTGGCCGCTAGAACCTGGTACAGGTCCGTGGTCACCTGGGGGGGTGGGGGGGGAGGGGAACCTGCTTAGCCCAGGATCCTTCCTGCTACATTTGCAGGAGTCCAGGGGTGTTCTGCTCATGCCAGCTCCCCTCCCCCAACCCCGACTCCACCAACCAGAGAACAGCGCCACCCTTCCCCTGTCCTAGCTGACTGCAGAGAGGGCCCTGCGGAAGCCCTCTGGACCATACCCCTCCCAGCCTCCGCTCACATCCCCCTCACCTGGATTCGGTCGGGGACCCCCGTGCTGTCCATGCGGCTAGAGACGTTCACTGTGTTCCCCCAGATGTCATACTGCGGCTTCCGAGCCCCAATGACGCCTGCCACAACTGGGCCCATGTTCAGCCCTGGGGTAGGTGGGGACAGCAGTAAGAAATTGAGAGCAGTGGCTATTCCGCAGTCGGCCCAGGGAGGCACCCCCCTCCTGGCACCTTCAGAAGGACCCAGGGAAGAAACTGGAAAAGGGACAAGCCTCCTAGTCATAAAGAATGGAAGATGCGGGCATATCAGCTGAGGAGCTCCCCTGAGTCAAGGCGGCTATGCTAGAACAGCATCTAATCTACCAATGCGCGCTCTGTGCCAACCACTCTGTAAGCGTTTTACACTATCTCATCCTCTCAACGGCCCCAAAAGGTAGGTACCATCATTCCCACCTTACAGAAAAGATACCTGAAGTTTAGAGAAGTTAGACAACTTGCTAAATAAGCCAGTTAAGTGGAACAGCCAGAATTCAAAGCAGACAGTCTGACTCCAGAACCCATGCTATTAACCATTCCCATCCACCAGTTCATCTGAGAGGAAGCGCCTCTTATCAGACTGGCCACAGAAAAGGACACGGGTACTGGAGCGTAGCTAAACCCGGTCTTGAATCCCAGTTCAGCCATTTACTAGTTGAATGACCCTGGCTGAGTTATTTACTCTCTCTGAGAGTCCATCTCTTTATCTGTAAAAGGGAATAATAACGTGAGGATTTATATGTGTTTTTAAAAAAAAAAAAAAAGCCTGGGACAGTGCTTAGCACAGAGCAGGCCTTCAATAAATGATCTCTGTTCTTACTATCGGACAATATAGGAGGTGGGAGAAAAGGAAAGCCCCACAGGACTCCCGACGGGGAATATGAGACGCCATCCCCAGCCTGCTGCCTCAGCTTCACCCAGAAACGGCCCTGGGAGAACCTGCCATCACCCGGGCCCTCTCACCGATCTTCATCTGGAAATTGTTGAAGGAGTGCTCATTGATGTGCTTCATCTGCTCCATGAGCCGCATGGCGTAGTCGGCAAGGGCAGTGATGTGGGAGCGGCCCACCTGATCATAGGTGCTGGCATTCAGCCCAGAGGCAGCCATGTAGGTGCTACCAATCGTCTTGATCTTCTCCAGCTGCCGGAACCGCTCCTCGCTGATGATCTGGACAGCACAGGGGGACCTGGCTGTCAAGGCAGACAGGCCAAACCCAGCCCTGCCTCAAGCCTCAATCCTTGCCATGCCCTGGCCCCCTTCTCCACTTCCCTGGCTCAACACTCCCCTCCTTTGGGTAAGTGAGCCCCGCTTCCAGCCGCTGCTCTCAGTGCAGGACTAAGGAGCCGGGAAAACGGCCTCCCTCACCGGGCAGCCGTCAAAACCCAAGCCAGGACTGGAGCGCACAGCTCCAGGTCAACTTCGACAGCTTGCTGCAGAACCCAGAACCACAGGAGGGCTATCAGGCATCAGTGATTCCAACCCTCACCTTTGGGGAAACTGAGTCCCAGGCTGAGAAAGTGCCTTCCCTCCAGAACAGGGAACAACCCATTCCTGACCTGGATGTTCAGGTCACTTCTTCATATTTTGCTTCCATTCTCTCTATTCAGGGGATCACCTTGCTTACTTGGCCTCATGGGGCCATAGTCTACAGATTACCGGCTTCTTCAATGACCCCCACCTGCCACCTATCCTGGCCCCTCCACAGATCCTCACGTCCCCCTCTGCTCCCCAACAG